AGCTTGCTATGCTAATATTGATTGTCGTGCAAAGATAGTCCGATTTTACTTTCCAGGTGAGCCAGTCCTTGAGTGGAAGGGTAATGCAGCCACACCTAAGGGTAAGTTTATTTCATACCTTAGGGCTCGGAAGTTGATTTCTAAAGGTTGCATATACCATATGGTTCATGTACATGATATTGATAAGGAGCCCATGACTCTTCAGTCAATTCCTATCGTGAATGAATTTCCAATGGTATTCCCTGATGATCTTCCAGGAATTCCCCTAGAAAGGGAAATTGATTTCGCTATAGACTTGCTTCCTGATACGTAACCTATATCGATTCCTCCCTATAGAATGGCACCTGCAGAACTAAGAGAATTGAAGGAACAACTGAAGGACTTGCTCGATAAAGGCTTTATCAGGCCAAGTACTTCCCCATGTGGTGCCTCAGTGCTCTTTGTTCGAAAGAAAGATGGATCCTTGTGGATGTGTATTAACTATAGACAACTAAATAAAGTCAGTATAAAGAATAAATACCCTCTTCCACGGATTTATGACTTATTCGATCAGTTACAAGGTGCCAAATGCTTTTCCAAGATTGACTTGCGGTCTGCTTACCATCAGTTGCAAGTCAGGGAAGTTGATATCCCAAAAACAGCATTTAGGACGAGGTACGGCCATTTTTAGTTCCTTGTCATGTCTTTTGGGCTTACAAATGCCCCAGCAGCTCTTATGGATCTTATGAATCGGGTCTTCAAACCATTCTTGGATGAATTTGTGATTGTGTTTATTGATGATATTCTTATATATTCACGGTCAGAAGCAGAGCATGCAGACCACTTCCGAGATGTATTACACAATCTCCAAGATTGCAGGTTATATGCTAAATTCTCTAAATTTGATTTTTGGCTTACCTCAGTAGCTTTTCTTGGTCATGATATTACAAGTGAGGGTATTAAGGTTGATGGACAAAAGATTGAAGCAGTGATGACTTGGCCAAGGCCCTTGAATGCGACGGAGGTTCGCAGCTTTTTAGGCTTGGCGGGGTATTACCGAAAGTTTGTGGAGGGATTCTCTTCTATTTCTGCACCACTGACAAAATTGACACATAAGGCAACAAAGTGTCAGTGGACCGAGGCATGTGAGCAGAGCTTTCATGAAACTAAAAAAAGGCTTAATCACTGCACCTGTCCTAACTCTTCCAGATGGTAATGAGGCTATGTTGTTTATTGTGATGCCTCAAGAATTGGCCTAGGTTGTGTTCTTATGCAGCATGGTAAGGTTATTGCATACGCCTCTAGACAGTTGCGGAAGCATGAGCAGAATTATCCTACACACGATCTTGAGTTAGCCGCAGTTGTTTTTGCCCTAAAAATTTGGCGACATTATCTATACGGGGTTCATATAGATGTGTTCACCGATCACTAGAGCCTTCAGTATTTACTTAAGCAGAGGGAATTGAACCTACGACAAAGGAGATGGCTAGAATTGTTAAAGGACTACGATGTTGACATTTTATATCATCCCGGTAAAGCTAATGTTGTTGCTGATGCGCTTAGCCTGAAGTCCATGGGTAGTCTAAGTCATGTTGAAGCTGATAAGGCTGGAATTACAAAAGACATGCCAGCTAGTTAATTTGCAAGTACGCTTGGTAGATACAAGAGGCGGAGGTGTTGTCGTTAAGAATATGGCAGAATCTTCCTTTGTGACTGAAGTGAAAAGGCAGCAACATGAAGATCCTGAGCTTAGAAAATTGAGGGAAAAGATTCCACAGCAGCAACACCCCTTATTTGAGCTAACTGGAGATGGAGTCCTTAGATACCAGGGTCGCTTATGTGTACCATCAGTTGGGAAGCTTCGTACAAATATTCTTTCAGAGGCCCATTATTCTAGATATACATCTCACCCTGGAGCGACGAAGATGTATCAGGACCTTAGACAGGTCTATTAGTGGAATGGCATGAAAAAAGATATTGCGGAGATGGTAGCTGAATGTCCCAACTGTCAACAAGTTAAAACAGAGCATCAGAGGCCTGGAGGCCTAACCCAGTTTATTGAGCTTCCGTTATGGAAATGGGATATGATAAATATGGACTTCATCACTGGTTTGCCTCGTACTCCATGAAGGTTTGATTCCATTTGGGTAATTATCGATAGACTGACAAAATCTGCTCATTTCTTGCCAGTTAGGACGACATATTCAGCTGAAGATTATGCTAGGCTTTACATTCAGTAAATTGTTCGCCTTCACGGAGTTCCATTATCTATTATCTCAGATCGAGGAGCTCAATTTACAGCATATTTTGGAGATCATTTCAGAAAGGTCTAGGAACTCAGGTAAATCTTAGCTACCGCTTTTCATCCACAAACTGATAGACAGGCAGAACGTACTATTCAGACGGTTGAGGATATGTTACGTGCTTCTGTGTTGTATTTTAAAGGAAGTTGGGATCAACATCTACCTCTTATTAGGTTCGCTTATAATAACAGCTTTCAAGCTAGTATTCAGATGCCCCTTACGAAGCACTATACGGGCGGAAGTGTAGGTCCCCAATCGGCTGGTTTGAGCTCAGGGAAGCAGATTTGCTAGGTCCCAATCTAGTCCAACAAGCGATTGAAAAGGTTAAGCTTATTAGAGATTGGCTTCATACAGCACAGTGTCCATAGAAGTCTTATGCAGATGTTCGCCGACGGAACTTAGAGTTTGAGGTAGAAGATTGGGTTTTCCTGAAAGTATCACCTATGAAGGGCATCATGCGATTCGGAAAGAAAGGGAAGATCAATCCTAGGTACGTTGGACCATATAAGATTATTCGGAAGATCGGTATGGTGGCATACGAGCTTGATTTGCCTTCAGAATTGGAAACGGTTCATCCTGTATTTCATGTTTCTATGTTGCGGAAGTGCATTGGAGAGCCTTCACGTATTATACCCATTGAAAATATTTGTATCGCTGAGGATTTATCTTATGCAGAGGTACCAAAAGAGATTTTAGATCGGCAAGTAAGAAAGCTTCGAAATAAAGATGTAGCTTCTGTGAAAGTGTTATGGAGAAACAATAACGTCGAGGAAATGACCTGGGAAGCGGAAGAGGAAATGAGGAACGAGTACCCCCAACTGTTTACGACTTAAGGTGAGTCACATTTCGATTATTGGCAAATATTTCTTCACTAACGACTTAGTTATATTTTAAGTAGCTTGAAGGTGAATTTTATATGTCTTCTTATGAGATAGCTATCCAAAGCTTAGTAGTTAAAATTTTCAGAATTTGATTTCAGGTTTGCGACTATAACAAATATAGATTCGCATATAAAGTACTTTGAAAGGGCGGATTCCTTGAAGCAATATCTTATTATGGAAGTTCCCCTATCAGAAAGGGTGGGTTTCTAGTAGAAATCTCCTTATCCCATAAACTACGTGCCCCTATAGGTTATTTAGCTATTGTATCCATTTCAAGCTAACATGATGATGGTCTTACCTTAGGCAAGTAAGACACCCCATTTTCGGTGTAGGTAACACCGGATTCCATGTAAGCTCACATGGTCTATGTTGGATAAGGCTAATTCCCACAAGGTCAAGTCTAGTATGAACTATGGTTACTCAAGAAGCTTTACTTAGCATGAGTGAGATTTATGGGGTCTTATTCATGCATTGCACAAGTATGCTTTGAGTGTAGTTATGGTATGTTCTCTTATGATATGATGATATATGTAATGAATATGCTTATGATGTGTGCTTAACTTGGATCGTTGCGATAAATTATTTTCCTTGATATGTTTGACTAAAGGTGAATGTTCCCTTGTCTATGAGAAATAAGCTAAGGATGAGATCAAAAGATGATAAATATGAATGAGGACCTAAAGTGAGTTGCTTATCATGGGTGGGATTATGGGGTCTTGTCCATGCATTGCACAAGCTTGCCTTGAGGTGACTCATTAAATGTTTCTCTTATGTCATGTTGAACTAGATGCATTGATTATGCCTATGACTATGTTGTTATCTCTTATGCTTATAACCTATGTCTTATTATGATGTCTCTTATACTCATGACTTATGTTATTGTCTCTTATGATTATGGTATATGTCTTATGTTGACTAATACCGCATATATGCTTATGTTGATGATTTATGCTAGCCATCATATTTAGTACATTATTGTACTAACGCATACTTTTGCCTACATTCTTATCAAATGTAAGGTTCGGCGATATTGAGTTTCATTCTCGTGGCTACGTTCATAGTAGATCAAAAAGAGAAGCTTTGGCGAGTCCTCATAGCATTCGAGGGCTTGACCACCATGTCCTTTATATTTCATTTTATGTTTAGAGCTATTGTATGGACTGCGTCCCAAGGATTTATTCAAGTTGTTTAGATGGTTTGAGGCAAAGTGTTATAGACCTCCACTTGCTTTTATAAAAGATTTCGATTGTATGGTAAAAGTTTTAAAATCTCCACATAATTTCTATTGCTTTATGTTAGGATATGCTAAGTGGCTTACATTGAATCCTTCGGGGTTCTTTATGCCATGTTACATCTAGGGTGTACCCCTGGGTAGTGACAAACTTGGTATTTAGAGCACAAGGTTTAGAATGGTTCTAGGATTGTCTCAAAACCACATCAAACAGATTCTTGTTCAGAAATGTGAAGCGTGCCACATTTATTAATAGGAGGCTATTGGATGTTTATGAAACTTCACTTTTTCATTCTCTAAGTCGTGCCATAGAGTTTAACTCTATTAGGTTTTTCTCCTATTTCGTGCTCTATAGTTTTCAGGATATGGCTGCTTCAAGAGTGAGGTAGTTTATGTGGATACACCTTTCGGAATTTTATTGGTCAAAGATGGAGGAAGATCCTCAAGAGTTTATAGATTAGGTCTCTGAGGTGTTGGACTTTGTGGGAGTGACTCCGAAAGAGAAGGCAGAATTAGTCGCTTACCTATTCAAAGGGTTGCTTAAGTTTGGTTTAAATAATTGAAGGAGGCTAGACCGGTAGGAATGAGTGTCATAGAGTGGGAAAGGTTCAAGAGTGCTTTTCTAGATAGGTTCTTCCCTTTAGAGATGAGAGAAGCTTTAGTGCTTGAGTTCATTAACCTTAGATGAGGTGATATGAGTGTTAAGGAATATACATGGAGGTTCACCCAATTGTCTAAGTATGTTCCAATTCTAGTGTCTGATCCTAGGTTGGGAATGAGTAAGTTTGTGTCGGGATTGTCCGATTTAGTAATAAAAGAATGTCGTACGGCCATGTTTGATCATGATATGAATATTTCTCGCCTTATGATTTATGCTCATCAAATTGAGAAACAGAAACTTGAAGAAAGGTTTAGGGAGAAAAGGAAATTTAGGATTTATGATGATAACTCTTCTCTTGAGAGGTTCTCCGGACAAGGTCCTTCTAGGTTTCCCCCAAGATTTAGTAAAGATAGGGTGTCTAACCCTAGACCGCAAGGAAATAGTAATGAGTCCCTATGGCCTTTTTGTTCTAGATGTGATAGGAGACATGAGGGTAGATTTCTAGAGGATTCTAATGTTTGTTTCAGTTGTTATGAGTTGGGCCACAAGATAAGGCATTGCCCTACGGTTTCTAGAAATGAAGGGGATAGTCGTCGTAGGTGTAAGATCTCGTAGTTTTTTCCTGAAACGACCCCAAAAATGCCCGAAAATGTGCTTCGGAAACACCTAAAATTGTAATTTCCATATATCTCAAAATCCGTGCATGATTTCGGAAATTCGACTTTATATTCTTATTCAGGGGGTCAAATTGAGTGGGAAATGAGTCTAACCCGAATTTTAGAACAACCGTATCAAAATTCGAAAATCGCAAAAAATGCGATTTTGAGGGTCAACTTTAAAGGGGCATATCTCTCAGCACACAAGGAACTGGAAGGAGCTCAAACTATCAAAATTAAAGCTCTGTGAGTTAGCTTTCCAACGCAATTTGTTTCACCTCATTCCGAGTTAGGATGAAGGAGTTATGACCATTTTCGTAAAACCT